GTTACAGTTTCACTTAAACATCTGTATTTGTAGAGTCAAAATCCAGCCTAAACTGGCATGGTCTACACAGAGCATCTTCTACTTGCCATCTCAATAATTAGACACACTTCAGTATTGGTAAGGAAAAATAATAGTTTAACCAAAATGGTAGTTACATAATACAAGATCACTATTTGAAATACCTGTTAAGAATCAGTTTTAAATTGCTGGAGAACAAAACAGGAAGAACAGAAGCCACTCCTGGTTTTTGTTTGATTGGCCCAAAATGAACAGAATTAGATGTAGCAATCATGTATGGGAGAGGTATTTTTGAAAGGTAGTACATTTACCTTGAAAAGCCTTGGTGGTTTTTAAAATTTACTTTCAACTAAAACTAAGCTAAGCTTTTGGAATGTGTGACGAAGCAATAATTCTACCTCTGCTTTCATTTTCATCCTGGGCCTGGAAGCTCAAGTGCTAAAGTAGAATTTAATAAAACTTGTTCTCATGATATAGCCAGTGAAACCCACACAGGCTGCTGCACAGAGCTGATAGATATCCTGGAGGGAATGTAAAAGGGTGAGGGAAAAGGGATTTTTCATAAGAATTTTTCTGTTCAGTATTCAGCGTTCAGCTGCAGTATGTCTGGACTGAACCTGAAGCATAAACGGTGCGGGCTCAAGTGGTTCAGTCTGTTTTAAAACTAAAAGACAGCACACAGTTCTGTCTCCATTCACATAAGAGAGGCAAAACAAATACATTTTAAAGCCAATAGAGTAGAATGCTTATTCCATTGACTATATACAGTACTGTACATTATATCAACTACACACATCTAAGACAATTAACCATACCAATAATTGCTAAGAATATTTTTTAAACTATTGTAATTTATTTTTTTTCTGAACTGTAGCGGAATAAAATCAATCTGAAATGTCTATGATCATGCAGTTTACCAATGTCATGTCAATACTGGTGAAAAAGTTTGGCAAAAGTTAATTTTTTTCTATTCAATTTTTCAAAGATGGCATATATGTTTCTGAAACAACTGTGATATAAAAGCAAAAATATAAGATTTTTCTTAGATATATTTAGTTAATAATGTTGAAATGGTATAAAGCAAAGCAAGACAAAGAAAAAAAGTTGGTGAAATAATATTTTCAAGAGAATCAGTTTCTGTTGTTACTCAAATACTAAAAATACTGTTAAATACCATAAATAGATGTAAAAAATTCAGATAAGACCTTAAAAAAATAGGAATTCTTTAAATATTGTTTATAAATCCTCAGTGCTGTTTATCAGTGATGTATATGTCATTTTCCCATGCACTTTCAGCTTTTATATGACAGCCTAGTAGATAAACCTTTGTCCTGTTGCCCTCTCTTACATAAAATGTTCAGTGACATTTTACAGAATCGTGCTTCAAGAACACACCATTTTGCAACAAAAAAATACCTTTGATCAAGACTAGTTTTTTTGGCTTATTTTATTTGGTTTTAAAACTAACTTTAAAACTCAGTGAAATATACTGCCTACATTTCTTGATTTCACACGTAGAAATATGAGTATCCTCTGTATTCACCAATGTATGTAAAAAGTATAGCAACAGATGGTATAGAAATCATGCATTTCCATGTAGAAAACAGATATTGTGTGTGTAATGCAACAGGTCAAAATACTTTTAATAGAACTTTTTAAAAAGAAAAAGGTCACTGTCTTTCAGAAAATACTTTTGCTTTCTAAGAGACTTTGGCTTCAAAGAGACTCGTTCAAATGTGAAGAAGAAAAACGTGTGTCATTTAGACATCCAAATCCTTTTCTAATTAACTAATAAATGGCTTATTAGCAGACATTAACATGCACCTTACTGAAGCTGATTAAAATAAAAAATGTAGACACAGAACCTCTGCTGCTGTTACGTTCATGTGACAGCACTGAAGTGATCTAACTGAAAGGTTATGCTATTTTTTCTAAAGCAAGAGTTGGCAAGAAAAGAAACAATTGGAAGAACAGAACTGATTGAAGAGGATAGAGAACAGGTGCTAAATTCTACTCAGATCCTCTTCAGAACTGAATCAATAAACATGGCAAACTTATAGCAGAGGTGTTCCTTACCAGCTAACATTGATTTCCTTTGGCTATTAGAAATAACAGCATCCAGTAGATCATATTGGCAGCACAATGCTTATACACCCTGATTCTGAAAAAGTTCTCCGTGTGTTTGTGCATGTGCACGTGCACATATACACACCTGTGAGTTAATTTACAATGATGGATAGTGTCAGGGGAATTACATTTCACTACCATCACAACTCCTCCTATTATTCCTCTGAAAAACACCAAGAAAAATTGTCATCTTTGGAGACCTATAGTGAATATCACTAGCAGACCTAGTCAGATATTTTAACAGGTTCATATTCTGCCAAGAAAAACAGTGAACTTGAAAAAAATCAGAAAACTGTCAGTGCTTTACTCCTTCACTTTTCAGAACAAAGCATTTAAGCTTATTTTTACATCAGTATTTGCTCCCATTGTCTTAAAAATAATAAAACAAGCCACATTTGAAGCAAAGGAAAATCTCATTTTTTTTGTGCAAGATTGCAAAATTTCATTTTCTTACACTGGAAATTTTCAAAAATATTTCAGAATTTTCAGAAATTTCAAAATCATTTGCAAAATCAGTATATTTCCACAAGTCAGAGTTCTCCTAGTCTGGATACTATCTAGGATCAAACCACAGCTGCTTTATCTGCTTTAATATCTAATACCTACCAGGATTCACCTGTTTGAGATACTTAGTTTATCTTCTCAACAAGGTGATTGCTAAGGTAGTAAATTTAGTACTTCAGTGTGGAAATTATCATCTTTTCACAAGCATTTTCTGTTTGAGATGTTTTAGGGTACTTCATTTAAGTACTTAAGATTTATTGGCTTTTTTTTTTAATAAACAGAGCTGTGGAGGGAAAAATAAGCAGGAGACAGAGGCTGTGTAATTAAATCATACTGTGATTTCTCTCCATAGATGCCTCTTCTGAAAATAAGCAAGCAAACACAAAAAGTCTTCAAATTACAAACTATTGGTTAGTTTATCTTGCATACAATAAATTCAAAATAGATGTTCTGAAGAATGAAATAAGTACTCTTACAGGGCAGTGAAGGACTTGAGCCAAACCTCAAAGCACTACTCAAGCAGAAGTGCTTGGCAGTACCTGACAGAATTTATTCTTTAGTGATAAATCCTATGAATCATTGTTACAAGATGATGGATTTAGTCAGAGTAAATACTGCCTTTTCAGTGATTCAAAACCATCCAGCTGGGCACACTTTTTAGCATATGGAACAGTTGTCTTGTTCTGTAATCTTTGTTTATTTGACTCTCCTTAATATTTGTTGAACACTGTCATTTTCTTTCTTAAACTAGACAGTAAAATCTTCTGAGTAAGATCCATGTACTTTTGTGTTTTGTTTTGGGTTTTGTCCATTGCAAAGCTATCGCAATTTTTTCTGAAGCCTTGTTGTGCAGTGCAAATAAAAATTAGTATATGTCATGTACATAATGCAGTCCTGTAAGCTTAAGAATACAACAGCATGCTTATCCAGCCTTTCAAATAAAACTGCTGCTCATAGAGTCCTTCACAGCAGTATTAATCTTGGGTGTTAAATTTCAATGCCATAGAGGCCAGGAGTCATTCACACTTGCAACAGCTAAGAGAGAAATACAACACTGACCCAAATCAGGAGAAAATGCTGCTACAGTAAAACTTATTTTATCCTTTAAACATCTCTCTCATAAATTTCCATATACAAAGCTACTACTGGAAAGTGAATATTTTGCTAATAAGAAACATGAGCTACTCACCAACGACATCATCCCTGGCAAATAGTGCATTTCTGAGCTAGCTTCACTGCATGCTTTAGCTTACTCATTATTAAATATAACATTTATCAATTATTGTTAAATTATATAATTTTAAAATTAATAGAATATGTTGAAAACACTTGCAATTAATGATAAAGAGCATTTATTTTTTTACAATTGGACTTTTACAAGTTCTACTTTTTCTATATTTGGCTTTGAGTTTTTTCAGAACACTACTTTAATAAGAATGTTAATAGGTGATAATCAGTTGACAGACAGATCTACTTAGATTTTAAAAGTCTTTGAGTGAGGTGTCTAAATAAGAGCACTGAATAAAACTGCAGACATGAGATAAGAGGGAAAGTCCTTGCACAAATAATTCCTCAAAAGACAGGAAATAAGGTCTCTTCTGTAAATCATCAGTTCTTCAAGGAAAGGAAGTCACAGAGATTTCCTGTTCCACACATATTTATGCTGGCCCACTTGTTGGTCAGTGTAATAATAAACTTCTTATAAGGAGTATGAATAATCAGCTCACCAAATCTACTTACGATACCAAGTTGTTCAAGGAAGAAATGAGGAAGGGCTGATACTAAAGACTTTCCAATACTCAGTAGACAGGCAATACAAAGATAGATGAAATTCATTATTCATAAACAAATAGTCTTAACTTCACATACATGATGATGATCTCTGAGCTGACCAATACTAGTGTTACGTCAGGCAGGTTTTTATCGTTTAATGCCTACTAGCGGTTAAACAGCAAAGTCACTGTTAGAATTTGCTAGGAAAGGAATAGAGAACAAAGCAGAGATCATCATATACTATGAAGCATAAACTGTTATAAGAATCATAAACCACTGCATACCTGCATTTTGAACCTTTTTTCCCCATCCCAAAGTGAATAAAGAGGAATTTGAGAAAGTTTAGAGGAGGACAAGATGAATGATCAATAGTCTAGAAGGGCTTTTTCACGGCCTATTCAAATTAAGTAGGACTCTTCAGTCTGGACAAAAGAGAGCTGATGGGCAATGTGCTAGAGGCTTATGAATGTCAAAGAGATAATAAACAGGGATCAACTGCTCTTTCTCTCTCTCTTCAAACACAAGAACTGGTAAATAATAATTGAAGACAGCATCGGAAGATTAAAAAGAAAAAAAGGTGGCAGCCTTCCCAAAACAGGCAATTAATCTGTAAAATTCCTTGATGCACAAGGTAGCAGTTTTCAGAAGTTTATGTTTGTTGATGGAAAAGCTAGAAAGCTATGAGATCGTTATTAAAGGATAACTAAAAAACACAGAAACCACAATTAGATAAGCAAACGATCTGCAAATTATCTGAGACTGGGGAAATACTTGGCGTATCATACACTCTTGCCATGTTCTCATACTGATCTTTAGGTGTCAGCTTTTGGTCACTGTTAAAGACAAGATAACCTTGGTCAGCCTAAACTTTAAAAAAGTACAGTATTTTTATAGTGTCATGTTAAAAACCGAAATTTCCAGCCATGCATTTATGTACATTGCTTTTAAAGATTTGATTAAAAAAGGGATACTACTAGTAATATATACCTCAGGAAAGATATGAGCTTCCAATTGAAAACTATGACCTGTGTAATATAGCAAAACTAGCATAGTGTGCTGGGTAAAATCTCTATCTATGCAAAAACGCAAAGGAACTTGGTAAAATTGTCCTTAACACAACGTCCATAAACCATGGACAGCAATGAAGTGCATTGATCGCAGGAACAGCGGCCACAATGTGATTCTGCCATTCAGTCTCAGTTCTGGCCCTCCCCATGCTCATAGTTGTGAAAAACCTTTCCACAGAAAAGGGCAATCAACATGCAAAAAAGGTCAGGATGGCAGCTATGTTAACCAACAATTTCACTGAGCTGTATTTGAAAATTGCTGCCATGTGGCATTTAGACGAGAGATGTTAAATCTGCTTCATCCATTTTGGTCAGAATAATGACTTGTCAAATTTCATCACTTATCTGACAAGATCAAAGTTTTGCCTGTCTTTACTGAAGATAGTTTGGGTGTTTTTTTCCAGCAACAGGAAAGATATATTGAACATATTCCCAAATCATCTTCCTTTAGTTAAATGAATTCTCCCTAATGCAGTCAAAAAGTTTAATCAAATGTGAAATACGTAAATGAAATAAGAAAGAATTATGACGTGTTCCCTGAATTAAACTTCTTACTTTAACAGATAGAGTAATTCTTCTTTCTCACTGGCAGAAAGATAACTGTGAGAATTACCTGACCAGGCTTTGCATTCTCACAGACGACTACATCATACTCTCTGGCAAGTTCTGGAGGGTTGTCATTGACGTCCAGGATCCTAACACCAACCGGAACATGGCTCACTAGCCCAGGATTGTCTGCAAAATACATAAGGGCGTATTAAGCCTTTTGAGATGTTCAAAATTCTGTGACATTTTCAATTTAAACATGGTTTCTTAACACAGTAACTGAATGAGAACTAGATACAGCTGCAAAAATTTAGGTAGCAAGATACTAAAAGATATTTGCTGTGTATCATTAACTGTTTTGAAAAACAATTAAGAAAAAAAAAGAGTGAAAAGTATAGTATGACTCCTAAGTCGCTGTTATATTAAAAAAAATGCAAGTTACTCTGAAACTGAAGTGGGAGAAAGTTGTTTGAGTTATCATATACTGTCACACTGTATGCTAAGAAATGATCAATTGCTTTGTAATGAATGTGAAAGGGTCATCACAGTATTGAATAAAATCTAATACAAAAAATTTTAAAACCTTTATCTCAGTCCCTTAAAGAGTTAGTAAATGAAATACCAAAATATTAAGAAAATATGAATGTATAGGCACACATATAACTTTCCCAAGCTTAAGTTCACCTTCCTCACAAGTTATGCTATTACACAAAGTAGTTAATGAGTCTTGCTTTAGCAGTGACATACCAGTATGAAAATAATGTTTAAATAACAGTGTCTTAGGCTGTGATCTGTACTTGTGTGAGAGCTCACTGTCAAAAAACACAATGAATAAAATCCTTTCAATGAGAATACACTTTCCATGATAAAACTGATAAAAGTAATGTGTAATTCCCTTACTAAGATTTTATTTTGTTGAAAAAAATTATCTATTAAAACTTTTTATAATTAGCCAAAATATACCTTGTAAATTCTGTATAAGTATGAATTGGTTTGATGACAAACTTCATTTTACTTTCACCAATGAAATGAAACTATTAATAGAAAATAGCAAAGTCAATTTTTTGAATGCAACAAGATGGAAGAATATGGGGTCTTATACACTGACATTTTAAAAGTGCATGTCCCTGTGTGTGCTCAAGAGAACCAAACCAAACCAAACCAAACCAAAACAAAACAAAACAAGAACATTAGGAGTCTAAACCTCATTTTTCATGGTTATTTTGATCTTAATTAATCCACAACACATATCTGCCATAAATAGTAAAATGCCTTATATTTGCCATACCTTTAATGGCCTCTGCTCAGAATTCTGAAAATCATAGATTAGATACATCTTAAGATTCAAAGCCATGAGTAATGTAAAATCCCAATGAAAGAATATTTGAGAATATTGAAAATGTTTTTAATAAAGTGAGAGATTTATCCTTCTCTGTTTTCTCTTGGGATGAGAGCCAAACAGCCTGGAGCCTAGAAGTTGTCTTCAGATTTTTTACATTCTCTTTTTACCTAATACGTCTATGATGACCTGATGATTTTAATTCACTTTTGGAACTTAGTCAATATCCCCATAAAATGTCAACAGAAAGCACCTCAAAAAAGTCAACAGAAGAGAAAGATTTAATTGAGGTAAAACAAGAACCTCTATTCACAATTAACATTAGCATTAGTTATTTCAAGAACAAACTCAGAAGACATTTATTATTTGCAAGAAGACTTGCAAATTCTATTATCTTGCTGAAATTTTCCTCAACTTAGTATTTTCTGTTTTACCTGAAAACTATGAATATTTTTCTAACAAATAAATTAAGGGACTGAAGAAGGCTATCTCAATTGTGTTCATGTGAGACTGAAGCTTTCCATTATTATCAAGAAAACACTTTTAGTGGAAAACTTTGAGAAATGTTAAAATGATGCATATATATGAAGTGAAGGTGAGGAAAAATGACACTTGGTTGTTCACAGAGTAGTTGGGAGAAAGAAATCATTCATCTCCCTTTATTCTTATTACTGAAGGAAGCAATCTTCTCTCCAAGAGACAATTTGCAGAATGAGTATGAACACAAAAAGATGTTTGATCCTTCCCTAGAGGAAGATCATGAGATTGTGCAGAACAGCACAAGCAGTAGAGACTGAATATTTCTTATTGCACACTGAAATGTAGCTTACAAACCCATTTAGGTAACTTCCTTTGTCAGTGTCATCTGACAACTCAATTACAAAAATCCTGTAATTACTGTTACAGAAAATGATATCTAGCAATAGATGATCTAGAGATGATCTATGACTCAAAAGGAGATTTGTTCTTGAGGCTTTATTCAGAAGGCTCATAATTTGTGAGGTATATGAACTAGAAAGTGGTATAAATTAAAGCAGAGTAAAAGAACATGGAAGGCAGAGATTACAGTAAAGGGTTGAGGTTGAATAAATCCATTTGGGAGTAGGTACATTAACTATGGTGAAGGAATTGAAGATTTTAATACTAGAGAAACCCCTAAGAGTTTTTTGCCAGAAGGCAAAAGAAGTTGTGATTATCAGATAATCATAGGATCACTGAAAAATCTTAGTTGAAAGAAACTTCTGGACGTCACTGGTCCAGTCTCCAGCCCAAAGCAGGGCCATCTTCAGAACTATAAGGGGGCGCAATACATCTAAGATGAAGGAAGCAAAAAAGCACGAAGAGCACAAGAGAAAGGGTATCAAAGAAAGAGAATTGTTCTGTAGGACTGGCATGTTTGGAATAGTTACCAGGGAAGGAAAACCAAACTTTTTAGTCCAATGTATGGAAAAAAATGGTAAATACTTCTGTTTCAGTACAATGTATCAGACCTCTTTGCCCCATCTTGAATGTGTCCTCTTGTATGCCTGTCGCTACTACCCACTGCAGTCTTACTCAAGTCTGTTAAATATGCATTATTCTCACAGAGATTTCATGTAAATTCAGAGAGTTTACCTTTATTTGTTCTGCAGCTGCTTTGCAGTACAAAGAATTCATAGACGCCTTACCAGTTCAAAAGAGTTCTTAATGCACAAGGCATTACAAGTATCTTTCTAGAAGCAGTTACCTCATGGGATTTGCAGGCAAATTTCTATATTGACAGCCTACTCAATACAAAATGCTAATACAGAAAGTATTAACACTAATCAACAAAAAAGTCTTGAAGTTTGTCAGATTGTTTATACTACATAGATGTGCATGCAAGATGATGGCACGATTTACAATGGTGAAAGAGTATGAGAATGAATTAAGAAGGACCTAATGAACTTTTACTTTTAGGTTTTATTTTATTTATTTATTTTTGTTAATTAGACAAATTTATTGCAGCAGTTTGGCAGATTTCCAGTTTTAAGATAATCAGTGCTGACATGTATTTCAGGCCTGCACATTATAAAACAGCCAGATCCATTCTGTGTCTTATTACAATTGTGCCTCAAGAGTACATTTTTCAAAGTGAATGTTCACTGTTTTAAGGGATTACTGAAGTAGAAACATTGCTCTGATTCACCTACCTTAGGGACTTGCTTTCTTATGCTTGAGACTTTTCCCAGAATAAATAGTTCTTCTGCCAGAATACTAAATATCTGTGAAGTGAATCAATTTATTGAGTATCAGCCCCTCTACCAGCAAATCCTCTGTGAACCTACAGAAGTCCCTATCCAGGTCCAGTCCAGAGTCTTGAATCTTCTGTTTCATTAATTTCTGTGGGCAAGCTATAGAACTCCTATATAAGAAGAAAGCTTCTTTTTAATCCAGATACCTCTGTCTGAGACTTCCCATCCTTAATATAAAAAAAAACAAACATGGATTTCATAAAAATAAATTCTAACTGAATGACATTCAGAATAAGAGTCTTGACATCTGCAGTATTTTGTGGGGTTTTTTTTTTGTTTGTTTGTTGTTTCTTGTTGTGTTTTGTTTTTTTTTAAGATAAACTGGTATACTTAAACATTTATTTTTATGAAATCTGAGAGAATAATTAAACCCAGAGATAGCCTGAACTATTTTTAAAGGGTGAAGGATTTTACAGAAAAGTGGAATAATTTTACATGTTTTCATAATCTAGAACAAAAATCTTCATCTATTTTAGGATTAGAATGAATGCCTATGCTTTTGCATCATCAATATTAAATATTAATCTTAATCAGTACAACACCACTTCTTTTTTTTCCTCATTTTGACACCTTTTCAAGACCTCATGAGGCAAGTCAGTGTGTAAGAGGCTCAACCAACTACCTATTCTGGTACTTTTTAAAAGAGAAAGAGAAAACACTCATCATGCTCCTCTAATGATGATTAGTTTTGACACATTAGAAGACTAAACATAGATCTAGGAAGGATAAAATATAAAATAACTAAAATGATGAAAGAATGTCTAGTATATAAGTGAGACTGGTAATATGCAGGAGATACTGGGTTTGATTCAGGGTGGTGTATATGTGTCAAATTAAATTTTTTGGCACGGAGAAAATTATGCAGAATCTAGTAATAGGTGTAACATTCTATTCTGCTTTCTTAAGGTAGTGGGTATTTTGAATATTGTTATCTGAAGTTGGCTAGATAATGTTCTTTTTTTCTTGTAGCAAAAATTTGACTTTTCACTGACAAACACAAACCTGAAGATACAGATAATTTATCTTGGATCATGCCTGGTGCTCATCTCCTGAGTAAATAAAGACGCCACCAAATATACTGGTTCTGTGGCCAGAAATGTGTCCGTATTGAGATTCTGGTACTGATTCACAAAGCTCTGAACAGGAAAATGTCACATGATCCCAAAGACTGTCTCTTCTTCGTAGACCCACCTTGATAGCTACCATCATCAGGAAGATTGCATTTGCCAGAGCCCAGGGGAGCAGGTGCATGAACTTTGTTAAACACAGGCCCAACTGGAACACCAAGGAACGTCAGGAAGAGCCATACCTTATACTGTCTTACAATGACAACATTCATAATATCACTCCCCAGAGAAACAGAAGAGAATAAAATCCATCATGCCTAGAACGAACAACTAAACCAAGATAAGCAGGGAAATAAGCATTGAATTTGGAATTAGAAGCATCACTTTTTGAGCAGGATGGAGAACTAGCTGCCTATCAACAACTGGTTTTTTTGAATGGTCTTCTGTAAGCTTTCATTATTGCATTGATAAATACATGTAAAAGAATAGCAGATTCTGCTAGAAATCAGA